TGGTCACTCATGTGAGAAAGTTGTGCCAAATGCAGATTTTACTCTAATGATAATGTAACAACAACTCTTTTTGGAGCTGCTCCCCCTCCCCCACAAACTGCAAAATTTCAAAACTTTCGTCTGTGTGGGCGGCATTTAGTAGTACATTTTGTTATATTTTTTATTTTTTCCTACATTTTGGAGTGTGCATAATTGTAATGACATCAATTTGAATCGCTGCCCAGCTGTTGGTCAAGTCTCTTGTGGCCTTTTGGCTTTCAAGCTGAAACAAAGCGTATTTAACGATGGCTTTAGATATGCCATATACGATATGCTACACTCTATATTTAGGCCTAGGCGCATTGTGCAAGCCCCATCATTTGCAGCTCTGCCTGAAATGTGTTGCAAACGAAACGAATTGGCATTTCAGTGTGATTGCTGTTAATGTAGGAGTTGAGTCTGTAGATCTGTAGATGTTGAAGGTATAGAAAATGTTATTTCTCTGTTAAATGTTGTTTCTGCTGCCAGTTTTACTTGTGGTTTTCTTGGTTTATTCGAAGCGTTCAGGCTACTGCTGCTCTATTATTTATCTTTGTTCTGATTTTACTTTTCTTATTTTCATTTCAATTCCTTTTCGCTTTTCTCAATTTTGTCACATTTTACTGCTACATCTTCTTCGCTCTCATTTTTTATTCTTACTCTAGCTTCTTCTTATATTCCTTTTGGCAATTCTATCGAGTTTCCCTTTCAGATTGTACTCCTACTTCTCATTCATCTTCAATTTAAATCTATTCAATATTCTTCTCTGCTTCCTTCTCTCCACTTCTATTCCCACATCTTCCACTCATTGTTTACTCTTAATATAACGCCTACTTGTCTTTCTACTTCTACTTTTACTTATTTTTCTGCTACTACTTCCTTCCTTCATAGCACCCCTTCTTCCCCTGCTCATTCTGCTGTTACTGTTCCTTCGTCTCCTAATCAACATCTTGGTATTTCTGCTCCATCTCCTGTTATTTGCCCATCCCATCCCATTACTCTTTCTACTTCTACATCTTCTTCTACTTCTACTCGGTCTTCGTCTCCCCTTCTCCTTCTCCTTCTCTTTCTACTTCTTATACTTCTTTTACTTCCACTAGGTCTTCTCCTCCTCCTCGTCTGTCTACTTCCCATACTCCTACTTCTACTTCCACTCCATCCATCTGCTCATATGTCGTCAGTCAGTCTGTCCGTTTGTCAATTATTCAGTTGGCTCACACAGTTATATGTAAATATATATATATTCATATATATGCTCGTTTATAGATTATATACATGTCTAGCTGCTCCAGTTTCAGTTAATTTAAATTAAAATAAAAACTCTACATTTTTCCCTTTGCCAACTGCTGCTGCTGCCGCTGCTGCTGCTGTTGCTGCTGCTGCTGCTGCTGCTGCTGCTGCTGCTGCTGCTGCAGACAACTTCCTGTTGTTGCCTCTATCTCTAGTTGTTGCCTGGCCCACCAGCAGCAACAACAACAACAACAACAACGACAACTTCATTGTGCACACAGATGTTTAATCAACATCATTTAACTTCATCATCACGATATAACAACAACAGACAGAATCCAACCTGCCTTGGCAGCTAAAGAGCTTCTCTAAACTTTTGCTGTTGTTGTTGTTGTTGTTTGGCCCTTTTTTTCTCTCATTTGAGCTACTTGACTGTTTTAGCACCCCCGCTGACTTGCTGTCTCTCTCTCCCTCTCTCTCTCTCTCGCTCTCTCTCTCTCTCTCTCGCTCTCTCTCTCTCTCTCTTTCTCGCTCTCTCTCTCTCTTTCTCTCCTTCTCATATATGGCAGATTTTAGTGCAAAACAATTTAAATAACAAGTTGGTAATGGAGCCGCATCTGTGCCTGGGAATCTTCACTGTGCCACATGTGGGTAAGCCCTTGTTGTTGCTGCTGTTGTTGTTGTTGTTGTTGGCCAGGCAACAAAAAATTACTGGAGCATGGAATGGTTTCTTGTTGTTGTTGTTGTTTGGCGCTGATTTAAAATGTAGATTTCTTTGGTAGCTGCTTTGCTGAGGTTTCATTGCACAGCAGCACATTGATGCGGCAGCCAGTGCAACTGCAACAGCCACTTGCCACTAACTCGCTGTTGTTGTTGTTGTTGTTGTTGTTGGCAGCAACAGCAGCAGCAGCAGCCACAGTAGCAGCAATTGACATTTGTTGGCAAATTTGCATGCCAAAGCCATTTGCAATGAGGTCGACTTCTATTTATGCGAATTGTAACGCGCATTTTAATTAGATTTTGATGCGAGCTAGATGGTAGGACAGACAGAGAGAGAGAGAGAGAGAGCGAGAGCAAAAGAGTAATGAGATGAGGTGGTTAGAATCCGGAGAAGTAACTAAACTACATGCAGATTAGCTTACAGCTGCAGCAGCAAATTTAATCTCTTGATTTAAATGTGTCTAAAAAAAATAAAAAATAAAATTAGCTTTGGGAAATGAACTTTGAAAAGCGTCACACGAGCCGCAGCTAAATTAAATTTATATAATGCACAACAACTCTTTAATAGCTGCTCGATTAGCATAATAATAATGCAACACAGTTACATGCAAATTTCTTAATGAAAAAATTAACAGAACTATAAAAAATTTAAAAAAAATATATAAAAATAATAATCAGACAGAATGATGTATTATATAAATTAAATATGCATAAGGAAATATTTAGTTGAAGGGTTGAAGGAATTAAGCATATATAAATGCTTTCAAAAGCCTTCAAAATTGCTTTGGCTTTAAGTAGTCTAACCAGTTTTTGCTCACATTTTCGGAGTTGAGCAATATTAGGCAAACTCTTAAGTTTGTATAAGTTTGTCTAATAAACGTTTTATGCAAACTTTACATAGAGTTGACTTAAAGATTAAATGAAATTCGGTTTTAGGAACCTCTCTCTTTTTTTAAGAAGCGAGTAATGGTTAGATTGCATAGATGCTATGCCTTAGAAGTTCACTTAAATATATATGTTCATTTGTATATAATAATTCTGTATATTTAAAAGTTTCTTAT